ACCTCAGAGAGCCGAAGCGGCTCTAGAGCGAACCGTGTCAAAGCGGCCTTAGCGATTGGCATCCGGAGGCCGAGCAGCCCTCCAGATCTGAGCTTGGACCTCTGCGAGCCAGCCAGCGACTCCAATATCAGTCCTAACATCTTTCCGGACCCACCCAAGACGAAGTTGGACCGGCGTAAGATTAAGGCCTCGCAGCCTAGGAGCATGAGCAGGCCTACAGCGGCATGTCCAAGCTATGTGTTTCCAAGAGCCAAGCGCATTACAGCCCGGCCAGCAACAGAGGTGGGAGCGGACAGTGTTCTGACGGACTCCCGGCCCAAAACAAGCTGGACTCGCGGAGGCCAGCGTGGCCACCGTCCGAAAGGAAGGGGACTCCTGCATGATCTTCCTGGTACGATCGAAGTCTGTCCTGAGGAACTGAGCAGCAGTAATGCCGCTGAGCTCCGCAACCTCGTGTCTAGGCCAACTCTGGAAAAGCCGCCAGTGTTCAGCTCTCCAGCCCTGCCTTAGGGAGTGAAGCATCTGAGGCACCGACTGAGTACTGAGGTCAAGACTGCACTCGGGTGTGACTCCCCTCCACTTCCAGGGAGAGATTTCCGTCCAGCTGCGCTCCTGGAGCCAGCGACGCAGCGCACCGAGAGGACTGCCACCTCGGTTGTGCCAGCGGATTCTTCCGGCATCCTTGAGCTGCCGAAGGCAGCGAAGCAGGTTCCCAGCTGCGAGACAGTCCAAGTGGGACGTACCGCCAAAGAGTATAGCCCTAATGTGCCGATTGGCACGTTTAAGACTGCGCTGTCCAGTACGCAGCACCGTCCACTGGTTCCAGCAAACCTTAGCTGTGGGAAGGTGCGCCAGCCAGCCGTAGCTGGCCTTTGAAACACCATACGTCCTAGCTGCGGAGTGAAAACGCTCGAAGCACAAGCGAAGGTTGCCTAGGACAGTGACCACCGCTTTAGCAGACTGCAATCGGGCCTCTTGTTTGGGAGGAAGCACTTCAGCAATCGGAGGTTGCGAGGAAGCCCCCGGTACTTCAAGGCTGTCACCAACTTGCTCGGGCTGCGGCCAAAGAGCTCTGAGAGCCCGACGGCCCTGTTCAGTGCGAGACGCAAGACGTGTCTTGGTGGCCGACTCAAGCAGGCCAACGCTACGAGACCACGACTGCCAGGAGCGGACTCTGTGCACTAGGTGCTCGGCACTTCGCGCGGTGCAGGTTCTGTCATCCATGTACACGCGGATCAGACCGCTGAGTCTCTCAGGACCCGGCATGTGTGCAGTGGCTCTGAGGCCAGAACCCATCCAAAGAAGGAGGCTGAGGGGCCCAAAAGGGCATCCCTGAGCCGTGGCATTACCACTGTGGATAGGATGCTGGGCAACATGTCCACCCCATTCAAGCCACCTCTTCTGATGGCACCAAAAACCCCCAGCTCTCATGAGCTGGACCGTGCCCTGTGGCCTCATGCAATGTACAGCAAATATATCTTGTTGAAGTGACCGTCGCCCTTGTAGCAATGAAGATGTACAGCATGATGATGAAGTTTGACTTGACGGACACCAAGTACGTGTACGGCAAGATGAAAAGGCCAGTGGTCCCACCCCGCCGAAGACGAAGGCGAGAAGCACTGATCCTGAGCTGCGGACGGACTTCCAGAGCCCGAAAGACCTCAGAGAGCGAGCAGGGGCTCCTGAGCAGCAGCGTGCCTGGGCGGCCCCAGCCACTAGCCCAGTCAAAGAGACTGGGCCGCACAAAGCAAGAAGAGGCACCAAGTCCTCGAGAGCAAAGTCTCAAAACCAAAGCGCAACGCGCCAGAGGCCTTAGCAGACCTCAGCCACGAGACCCAGTCGGAAAGACCAGGGCCCCTCAGGGAACTTCTCAAGCAGCAGATTGTCTCTCCGGAGGCCTAAACGTGACCTGCCAGAGCCTCTCCTGAACCTCAGCAAGCCAACGAGCGACGACGAGGTCAAGATCGCGAGACTGCTTCCTAATCCAACCGAGTCGGAGCTGGATCGGGGTCAGATGGAGAGCCCGAAACCTGGGAGCATGAGCTGGGCGAAAGCGGCATGTCCAAGCAATGTGTTTCCAACTGCCTAGCGCATTACAGCCCGGCCAACAGCACAGGTGTGAGCGAGCAATACCCTGCCGAACTCCGGGTCTGAAGCAAGCCGGGCTCGTGGAGGCCAGCGTGGCAACCGTCCGGAAGGGAGGGGAATCTTGCATGGCCTGCCTGGTACGTTCAAAGTCAGTCTTAAGAAACTGGGCAGCAGTAATGCCGCTCAACTCTGCTACCTCGTGACGAGGCCAACGCTGAAAGAGGCGCCAGTGTTCAGCCCGCCAGCCCTGTCTCAGCGCGTGGAGCATCTGAGGCACCGACTGAGCCCTGAAGTCCAGACTGCACTCAGGTGTGACGCCTCTCCACTTCCAGGGAGAGACCTCCGTCCAGCTGCGTTCCTGGAGCCAACGGCGCAACGTCCAAAGTGGACTGCCACCTCGGTTGTGCCAGCGGATTCTGCCCGCATCCTTGAGCTGCCGAATGCAGCGAAGTAGGTTCCCCGCAGCAAGACAGTCCAGGTGGGACGTACCTCCGAAGAGGATAGCCCGGATGTGCCGATTAGCCCTTTTAAGGCTGCGTTGCCCCGTGCGTAGAGCCGTCCACTGGCTCCAGCAAACCTTAGCCGTTGGAAGGTGAGCCAACCAGCCGTAACTAGCCTTAGAGACAGCATATGTCCTAGCCGTGGAATGAAAATGCTCGAAGCATAATCGAAGGTTCCCAAGGACCGTGGTAACTGCTCTAGCAGCTTGCAGACGGGCCGCTTGCTTGGGAGGTAGCATGTCAGCAGCTGGAGGCCGTGACGAGGCCCCGAGTACTTCGAGGCTACTACCAACTTGCTCAGGCTGCGGCCAAAAGAGCTCTGAGAGCCTCCCGACCCCGCTCCGTAAGACCGTAAGAGCTGCCAGCCGAGTCTTGGCAGCAGACTCCAGCAGGCCAACACTCTGAGACCACGACTGCCATGAGCGAACTCTGTGCACAAGGTGGTCCGCGCTCCGCGCAGTGCAAGTTCTGTCATCCATGTACACACGGGTCAGACCACTGAGTCTCTCAGGGCCTGGCATGTGTGCTGTGGCCCTAAGGCCGGAGCCCATCCAAAGAAGGAGGCTGAGGGGCCCGAAAGGGCAACCCTGAGCAGTGGCATTGCCACTATGATTGGTCGCTGGGCAACATGCCCACCCCATTCCAGCCATCTCTTTTGGTTGCACCAAACAGCTTGACAGAGCCTACACAACCCCTCTGGGAAGCCCCCTGCTCGCATGAGCTGCACCTGAGGCCTCATACAGTCGTAACATTTCGTGAAATCGAGTGACGAGGCAAACCCATCAGCAACGTAAGCTTCAAAACACTCAGTGGCCGAAAACGGCGCACTGGACCCTTTGCCAAAAGCAATCTCCGTAGGGGTGTTACTGCTAACCCAGTACTTGACGCTAGGCGTTTGCATCCAAGCGGAGCCCCAAAGTCTCCAGAAAACGCTCATCACAGCGATGGGTCGGACATCCCCGACATCAACATGAGAGTTAAGGACTTTAGCATTCTTGGGCAGGTTGACTTGACGAGAGTGGGTCAGTTGCTCCGGACAAACACCCTGCGCTTCCCACTGTAAAGCCAAGAGACGAAAAGTAGCTAAGGCACCCACGGGAAGATGCTTAACTTCAAGACCCGACCAATGGTCCGGCCCAGCTGCCCCTGAAGCCCTGCGGGCCTGGGCCACCAAAAGCGAAAGACTCGGAGGCTCCCACTCCGTGCGTGCCCTATCAGCGAGAGCCCACCGCGTGAGGTTCGCGCAGATTGCTTCTTCATCAGGACCCTGGCCTTGGGCCTCCACCCAAAACTGTGTCCAAAAGTCAGCGATAAGCGCCGTGCATTCCCGAGGCGTGTGGGCATCCCGCCCGAGGCCAGAGACTTTAGTCACCGGGACCTGTTCTCTACGTCGGAGCCACCGGCCCATACCCGCAGGCTCATGCAAAATGGAGTGTCTCCAGCGTTGCAGAGCTTGCTTTTTCTGAGCTTGTTCGGCAGTTCGGAGCCAAGCTTTAACTACTTGTAAGTCTGCGGGCTTAGCAGCCGGCTCGCGCACTGGCTTTCGTGTCAACCGCCCCAAAGGTAGAGTCCCTTCCTGGAAAAGCCGTTTCTGGGCCCGGTCTGGCAGTGACAGACAGCTGGGCAGCGTGCACATCACCAAGCTTAGGCGAAAGTTGGCTAGGGCTTACGAGCTTCAGCGGTGGCAGTCACGACCCCAGGACCGCCGAGCTCAAGGTGAGGCAGAGGCTAAGACTCTCTGCAGCAGGTTGATCCTGCCTCAGCACCCTTGGTCGGCTGAGGTGAGTACTGCAGTGCGGGATTTGATCCTTTGTGGAGGAGACCCATAAACACATCCCAAGCTTCCTGCACGGCCAGGGAACTGTTAGCCACCTGGCTATCGAAAGCCTTAGCCGCTTCAGAAGTAGTCCATGCCTGATCTAGCCACTGTCTCCAATCCTCAGTAGAGACGTCCTGAGGCTTCTCCCAAGACACCGAGGGAGTTAAGAAGCCTTGTTGACAGTCAACGACGCCAAGAGGCACAGTGAGCTCCAGGGCCTTGTGGTCACTAAACACAAACGGTGCAGCGACAGGCGAGGAAACCGCAAGAGGTCTACTGCAGGCGAACCAATCGATCTCCCTGTCGCTACTCCAACGAGTGCCTAGCCCCGTGCTTAAGGGAGTACCGCCATACGCCTGCAGCGTGCAGGCGATAGTAGAATCTCCCGGGATTTCGTTGGCGTCGCCGCAAGAGATCCACGCAGAAGTCGCGTCCTTACGCTTCACCTCAAACAGCTCCTGAAGCCCACGGGCCACTTCTCCTTGCGGATCAGCATGCTCGCATGGGGGAGCATAGAACGTCGTGAGCCACCAGTCCTCAACAGTAGCACTAAGGACTTGCGAGTCAGAGGACACGTGGTCGGGCCCAAACTCGATTTTTACGCGCTTGTCGACAAGAAAAACCACACCACCCCGAGGACGGGTTTCACCCCAGCGGCCGGCGGAGGGAAGAAGGCCCGGAGCAACCTTGCCCCTAAACCCAAGTTTGTGAGCATGCCGTTGGAAGGCACTCCACTCGTCAGGTTGCATGCGCGTTTCTTGAAGAGCAAGCACAACCGCACCCTTAAAGTTACCGTAGTGTTTGAGAGCAGCCCAGGCACCAGGAGCCCCGCCGCAGTTCAAAGTAACAACAAGGAAGGACTTGAGAGAACGGACATCCCGACCGGCCTGGCACGGTCCAGGGTTAGCAGCCTCTCCTACTCTCAGAGCCCTATAAAGCCACCCAAACGCCAAGAGGCATCTGCGACACGACTTGGCCTAAGCAACGTCTGAGAGCCGTGCTTTGCAGCGTAAACCCGCAAAGACCTGAATGCCGCCCGACTGCGGTCAGGCGGCAGTCCCCGTCAGGAGCGAGCAGCAACCGTCGCAGCAGCAGTAGCAGCCGCAGCAGGCTTCCTGAGGTTTCTGACCTTAGGACCAGTCTTACGGGCCTTGGAGGCAGAAACATTCTTGGCGCGAGCCTGGCGGGCCTTTTTAAGGTTAGCAAAAGTGCAGTCAGTGTACTTACGTGCAGGAGCAGCCGCCTCACAGCGGAGGAGTGGCTGTTTACCTGGTTTACGAAACCGTGGCTCAAGAAGCGTTTCCGAGCCCACCCTCTAGAGCGGTCAGTGTGAGGCTCAAACATAAAGCATTCTCTGTCAATGTCACGCATGGGCCGTCCAACCGCCTGGCAGAGAGCGTCGGCTTGCTTGGGGTCGGAAGCTTTAAGTCGGACCCACCAACACAGCCTCAAGCGCCTGGAGTGAGGATTAGTGCGCAAGCGCTCCTGGATTTCTTGACAGGTCATGGAGGCTCCAATTCCCGATCGCGTGCTAAGCTGCGTAAGACAAACTTTGCAGTAGTGCGCAGTACCGCGACGACCAAGCGCATTGCGTTCTTCGGTGGGAACTTCAACTATATCGTGTGAGTGTCGAAATCCGCTTCCCTGCGCGCAGCATGGTCAGACTTACAGCGTTTAGCAACCCCCTGAGTTCTCTTGGCCGTACCCTTAAGGGAAAGCGCGTGCAAAGCGCGTAAACCGCCCTTAAAGTCGGGATGGGCTTCAGCGAGATGATGCCGTTTCGCTCTCTTGCGGTCCTGAGAAGCGAGGCATGGGATGCGCATCTGGCACAGCGGGCACTGGAAGCCTGACTGGGCAGGCGGCAGTTCCTTAGCAAAGGCAACTGGTGTTGGCTTTTCTTTGTAAAAGAGTTTGGCCGAGCATTCCGGGTGGCGAGTACGGATATGGTGCTTCTTAGACCCTAACGGCACAACAACGCCACAAACAGGACAAGGCCACTGCTGAGGGTGACTAACACAAGTCTCCGCGGACGCAGCACTCTCCTCAAAGTCCTCGAGGTTAGCGATGTCTTCCAGAGCAAGGCGGTTGGCCCAGTTTTTACTGAACGCCGACTGTACTGTCGAGGAGGGCTGGCCTGGGCCCTTGCCAGCAGAGCCCTTAGGACCAGACACTCGAACAGGCCCAGGGCGGAGCCAGCTAGAAACTGAGGCTTGAGACGCCTCGCCGTCCTGAGGCTGAGACACCGCTACACGAAACGGTTTGTCCTCAGTGTTTACGCTGGGCGGCCGCAGCCACCGGGAAACTTCTGACCCAGAGTCGTCCACCTGTTCCACGTCCTTGGTCGCAGTTGTAAGGCGGGCGCCGCTGGAAGTACTGAGGTCCTGCCCACCACTCTAAAGTTAGGGCTAGCAGAGCGCGCGGGGTTTTTAAAATAGGAGCCGGACCGTCGTCGTCGCCGACTTCCTCTATCTGAGTCAACAGGGCGCGCAGCCCCTCTAACAACAGTTTTTCCTGCCGCACTTTCCTGGTGACAGCTGACCCGGCGCCTCCGCGCCATGAAACTGAGGCGGCAGCCGAACCTGCCGGACTTTCAGGGACTTTGGGGCATCTAAACCAGAGCTGAGGCCGGATCCTGGCAAGTCGAGGGCCCGACCCGTGTCTAAATCGGACCCTACGGGCCCAACTGCGGAGGCACCGATGCCTGAACTTGCATCTGGGCGCGGGCAGTCTGCTGCCTCCACTCGAGAGCCTGCGCAAACTGGTGTCTGAGCCGCTTGCGAGCAACCTGTCGCCGACGTCTCAGATGAGTGAGCTGCCGCTTCAAACCAAGCCAACAGCCGGAGGCCTGAGTCCGATGCCAGGTCCTGCGGCCCATGCCATCTCGACTGACAGCAACCTGCTCCGCGTCGCAGGCCGCTGTAACTAAGGCGGCGGCAACGAGGAGACAACAAACCGTCGTCGTCACCATCACCGTCGTCCACAGAAAAGTAGAAAGCGGCACTACTGGCGGCTCTCTGATCCGAGGGTCTGACTGTTCCGGGGAGCTTGCTGTTAACACTGCCGTGCATGCGTGCAGTGATAGCCCGAGCAAGCTCTCAAGCAATTCAGTCTCGAAAACTAGGGAACTAGAACGAAAAAGCAGGCGAAAAACGCCCTTGAGAACAATGTTGACGTGCAAGCAAGACACATCTCGCTTGGGGCTGCGGCTGCCCGAACCACTGTGGTTTGCAAGGAAGGCCATGGCTTCGCACGACCTATAGTCGAGAGATGTCGAGAGCACCTACGGGGCAGCCCGAAGGGCAGTGGTAACTGTCACCGGCGAAGTCGACGTAGCCAGGCTCAAAAACGGGACCAACCAACACACCACCAACCCCACCCAACCGAACCCCAACCACAACCCAAAAGAACCACCGACCCACCACCGACCCAAAAGCCTAAGCGACGTCAAACCGCCAACCCTGCCGATCTTCGTCGGTCTTGGTTTGGGGCTGTTGCGCCTCGCTTCATTGTGAAACCCACTACGCTGCGAAGCAGCTTTTGCATCAGAGATGTCTTCAATCTTGTCTTGCCCATCTGGCTTTTCTTGACTTTTTCTTGTCTTTTCTTGGTTACTACATGACACACTCCGCATCCCAGTGCACTGCCGCAGAGCACCAGGGTCCGCCGCTGCCAGCGTGAAGGCGTTGTCGTAGCGGCTGAAGATGTACAGCATATATGAGGTTGTAGTGCATGAAGCCCTCGGTTTGCTTCTTGCACCCCAGCGCCGCCGCAGCGGCCACCAGTAGAGAAAAGGCACACCTTAGATGAGGCCGAAGCCTACCCGGTGTGTGCTCGCGCTGGCGCCGCCAGCCGTCGGCAAGAGATCTGGTGGATGACGCTGTTGCCACAGGGCCCGACACGCATCTGCCAGGACTTGCAGTCTGGCCGCATTCACAGGCTTAGCAACGTTGGCCAAAGGCCAACCGAACCGAGCTTGCCACTCATTCTGTGGCCTAGGCTTGCCCACGCACTCGTAAGCCACGTGCTGAAAAGGAGCCAGCTGCACGCCACACCTCGGACAGCAGTGGTGCTCCTGATTCGAACCCTCGCAGGCTTCCAGCCACGCAGGGCTCACGAAGGCTCCTAACATGACCGTGCGATTCGCCGCATCTTCAAGGAGAAGCGTGCGCATGCGTGCGCACTTGCGCGAAGTCCACCTGTTCTGCTTGCCCAAGGAGCTGAGCCTCAGTGCCCCGGCCAAGCATCTCCCTCGCTTCATGTCTGTCAGAGCGGAGGAAGCATCGGAGCTGAAAGAGTCTCCAGCCCTGTCTCAAAGCATGTTGCCTTGCACCCGGAGTCTGCGCGCTCTCAGGCGAGATATCGACGACGCAGGACTGCGCCAGAGACGATCGCCAGACCCAGGGCCTGACGACTGTCCAAGCTCTCTTTCGCATCCATTTGCGAAAAACCTGCACTGAAGCACCCGTCGGAGCATTCCAGGTTCGATCCCCTGCAGGGAGGCTGCCGCCACGCTCAAAGAGTAAGAGCTTAGCCACCCGGCGAAGCAAACCGGCAGCGCACACACAGTCTAGGTGCAGCACCGCCCCGTAAGCGGCCTGCCTTAACCGCGGGGCTGGCCATGCGACACGTGCCCGAAGCCACTGAGAGCGCAGCAAAGAGGCCGTTGCTATCCTGAAGCGTAGGCAGTCTGCCTATCCAGCCGTAGCTGGCGAGCGAGAGGCTGAGGCTTCGCGAAGCTCTGACAAACTGAGGCCAGGGCAGCCACGCGGACCTCAAAAAGATCTGTCGGGCTTTAGCCCGCGCCAACCTGTGAGCCTCCTGGTCCGTATTGACCCTGGGCACCGAGACCGTGCTGCAGCCCAGAACTTCCACCTCAGGCTTTTGCCAGTCTACCCAACAGGCGTGGAGAACTTCAGTCTGCAGAACCTTGGTTTTGGCAGTGACCTGTGTCTTGCCAGCGTGTTCGCGGAGCCCCACGGCCTCCGACCAGTCGTGCCAGCTAGAGATCCACGCTTCAGTCTGGCGCCACGTACCGCTCACAGCAGAGCGGTCGTCCATGTAGCAAGCCTGAAGCACATCCCGACAGGGCCGAGGCCTAAGGTTTCTGAGCAACGTCTTGGGTCCCTGCCAGAATCCAAGTGCAAAACACCAGGGGAGCTAATGGACATCCTTGGGGCGTCGCATCTAGCCCGCAGAGGGCCCCTGGCAAGGTCGCCCCTTGCCATTGTACAAACCGCGTCTGTAATTGCCATGCAGCAGTAAACATGGAGCAGAACTTGGCATCCCACCCCGCTTGTGTTAAGAAAGCACGGGTGATGCGCGGCGACATTCTATCGTAGCATTGGCTAAAGTCAAGGGTGCTCAAGATGCCGCCACGAGCCAGTTTGTCCTGGAGAAGCATAGCAGTTTCCTCAGCATTGAGGCCCTTGAGCCCTCCGAAAACGTTCTTGGGGAGCCTACGTCTGCAGTCCTCTAGCTCGGGAGTAGCAAGCCAGGCCGCCATGAGGACCCTCCAAAAAGTTGACATCACATTAATCGGCCTCGTATCCGCAGCGTTAATAGTGTGTTCAACAATTTACGGGCCTTAGGCAGGGAGACCTGCCTCGACTGCAGCATCTGTTGCGGCGAAGTCTCACTAGTCCACCATCTATTGAACAATTGGTGCGCCACAGCAATAGCCCCCGGGGGCAAATGCCTGAGCTCCCGAGAACACCAACTATCAGGACCAGCCGTGCCCTTAGTCTTCCTGAAAGCCTGAAAGAGCAGCTCCACACTGGGCCCTTGCCACTCTTGACCATTTGGCCGCACCTGAAGATGTACAGCATATATACATTCTGGAGTGCTCGCGCCGCCAATCATCGACGCAGCACAGAGGCATGTCCTTAGATGCGCTCCGCAGACAAGTACCTTAGTACAGGGAAGCTGGTGCCTCCCTGCCACAGCAGCCGACGGGCAGCACAACCAAACATGTGTGCAAAAACGAAGCATGCGCAGTCAGAGCCTAGAGGTACCCTCCCAGCCCTCACCGCCCAAGCACCCGACGGCAAACAACCTGCCCCTCACTTAAATCGTCTTTCCCACGTCTGCAGTCTGCAGTTGGACAAAAGTGAGCCACTCACGAATCTCTCGGAGCCAGCGAGGGTGCTGCGGCCCCCCACCAACACGCCAACCGAACCGAGCCGTAAGCGGGTTCGCAGGTTTGGCGAGGACGCGTGGTCTGTGGGGACACGTCCAGCGGACGTGGTCTAACGTACCCAAAGCACCACACCCCCAAATGCACGAATGATCACGCGGACCATCTCTGCAAACGATTGAGGCAACATGCCACGTAGCTGGTGAGAAGCAGGCTCCAAACGCGACTGCTGAGGCAGCGGCACTAGAGTTGGCCCATGCCTGGTTGTCCGGCCAGTTGAGGTTTCTGAGGCCCCGGCCTCCGGCCTGCCACAAGTCAAAACTCCTGAGCTCATGGCGGTCACAGGCAACCCACTGGGCTGCAGCCCAAGCCCTCCAGCCCTGCCGGAGGCAGTGCTGCTGCCGACCGATCCTGTCTCTGGGGGCCTGAGGTGTCAGAAGGGCCCGGCCAACAGTAAGGTCCAAGCGAAGCCCTGCAAATGGGTGGTTCCAACGCCACGGCCCAGCCAGAAGCCAGCCCCGAGCGATGAGCCGGGGCCGTGCGGCGCAGCAGAGTCCACACAACAGGCTCTTTGCCAGCACGCTTAATCACAGCACCTATCAAGCGCACAGCCCACTGCACATCAAGATGACAGTTGGTCCAAAGCAAGGCCCGAGTCCATGGATTACTGTAATGAATACGCCCCGAGGCCCTCCACATACAGGTCCAGAGCTTCTTGCACGCACCGAGTGTAGGAGCTCTAGATATCCATCCAAAGTTAGCCCTGGAAAGAGCAAAAGCCTTAGCCTCCCTCAGAAACCTGGTAAGACCAAAGCCGACACACCCCAAAAGCCTCAGGCGACGCTCAGCAGACTGCAGCCTCTGAGTTTCAACCTCTGTGTGGGTCCGCTGCCCAAAGCAGCTACAGGCGCCCAGCAACTTGACGTGCTTCCGAACAACATCAGGCCGAAAAGTAGCTGCCAAACTGCGGGTGAGAGCCGCCGTAATGGCAGTAGCCTCAGTCTTAGCCGGATGCTCAAGCAGGCCAACCGCAGCCGACCACTGAGCCCATGTCTGCTCCTGCTGAGACAGCACCCTCGCTTCACTAGCAACGACAGTTCGGTCGTCAACGTAGACTGTGGTCTGCACAGACTGGGCCGCCTGCGTGAGGCTCCGGACCGCGCGGAGCCCTGCCTGAGCCCACAAGGCCATGATGAGTGGCCCAAGTGGGTCTCCTTGGGGTTGCACTCCAGCAACAAGAGGCTCCGAATGACAGTGGTGCTGAAATTGGATGTACCTAGCCAGCTGCAACCAAACGCAGCTAAAGACGCGCAAAAGATCATGAGGCCACTTCATCTTCCGAAGCATTTCAATGGTAACTCTGGCATCCAAGGCATCAAAAGCCTTCGTGACGTCCAAAGCTAAAACCATACCCTGCTCAGCAAGCTGCTCAAAAATCCTGAGCAAAGTGACATACAGATCCTCGCCGTTAAAAGCAGCTATCTCAAGCATCAGGACCGACCTCATCCAGGCTTGGAAAGCGTCAGAATGGTACAACGTACTCACCCACAACCGCCACCAAGTACTCATCACAGTGATAGGCCTAGTACTGGCAACGTCACAAACGCGATCGGTGACCTTCTTAGGGATGCAGATCATACGGGCCTCAGTAAACTGGGCAGGCACGGAACCCGTAGCGACCCAAACAGCAGCGAGCTGAACAAAGGTCTCAAGCAGAGGCAGAGGCAGGTGCTTGAGCTCACTACCAATCCACCCATCGGGCGAGCCAGAGCCAGTGCTCTTCCGAGCACGTCTCTGCAGAGCATCAGCTTGCGGGAGAGGGAAAACAACCGCATTTTCGGGAGAGGGCACCGTAGCAAGCAAAGCCGCAGTTCTGGCCTGCAAGGCCGGGCGAGTGCGGTCCAGGCGTTGCCAGAAATTCTTCCAGTAGTCGTAGATAGCTTGCGCTCCCTCAACCACCGAAACAGTCCTGCAAACCCGTCCTCCCTCATCCGCAAAGCACAGCCAGTGCACAAGCGGACTTTCCTTAGACTTCAGCCATCGACTCACCTCAGCAGTGCTGGAGTGAAGTGGCGCCACGACTTCAGGGCTTGGGTTTTGGTCCTGTCTTCATGAGCATCAAGTTCAGCCTTAGCAGTCCTGATCAACTCACGCGTGCGGCGCAGGGTGGGCGCCCCCAAGACCCTGCGCAAAGCCTGAAGGTTAAGAACCTCCTGCTCAGTAGCACTACCATCCTCAGCCCTAGAGGCAATACGGAGATAATCATGTAATCGAGCGAGGTGCCTACGTTTCTTACGGGCAGCGAAGTCACCAGGATTGAGCCTGGGGCCTTTGCAGGCCTGGTTCTCCCACTGGAGCCAACGGCGCAGAGTCCAAAGTGGACTACCACCTCGGTTGTGCCAACGGATTCTTCCCGCATCTTTGAGCTGCCGAATGCAGCGAAGCAGGTTCCCAGCTGTAAGACAGTCCAGGTGGGACGTACCTCCGAAGAGGATAGGTCTGACGTGCCGATTAGCCCTTTTAAGGCTGCGTTGCCCCGTACGTAGAGCCGTCCACTGGTTCCAGCAAACCTTAGCCGTTGGGAGGTGAGCCAACCAGCCGTAACTAGCCTTGGAGACAGCATACGTCCTAGCCGAGGAGTGAAAACGTTCGAAGCACAAACGAAGGTTTGGCCTGAGTAGCATCTGAGAGCTGTGCTTTGCGGTGTAGACACGCTTAGACCCGGTCAGGCGGCGGCCCCCGTCAGGAGCGCGCAGCAGCAGTCGCAGTGGCAGCTGCAGCAGCAGCAGGCTTCTTCAAGTTTCTGACCTTGGGGCCAGCCTTCCGGGCCTTGGAAGCAGAAACATTCTTGGCGCGAGCCTGGCGGGCCTTTTTAAGGTTAGCAAAAAAGCTGTCAGTGTACGTCCGCGCCATTACGTACCCCAGTCCGCGCAGGAGCAACCGCCTCACAGCGGAGAAGTGCCTGTTTACCCTGCTTATGAAACCGTGGCTTGGCTCCTTCAAGGAATCGTTTCCGAGCCCACCCTCTAGAGCGGTCAGTGTGAGGCTCAAACATAAAGCATTCTCTGTCAATGTCATGCATGGGCCGTTCAACCGCCTGGCAGAGAGCGTCAGCTTGCTTGGGGTCGGAAGCTTTGAGTCTAACCCACCAACACAGTCTCAAGCGCCTGGAGTGAGGATTCGTGCGCAAGCGCTCCTGGATTTCTTGACGGGTCATGGAAGCCCCAATTCCCGACCGCGTGCTAAGCTGCATAGGACAGACTTTGCAGTAGCGCGCCGTACGACGGCCAAGTGCATTGCGTGCTTCAGTGGGAACTTCAACTATCGTGCGAGTGTCGAAGTCCGCTTCTCTGCGCGCAGCGTGGTCAGACTTACAGCGCTTAGCGACCCCCTGGGTTCTTTTGGCCTTACCCTTAAGGGAAAGTGTGTGCAAAGCCCGCAAACCGCCGTCAAATTCGGGATGGGCTTCAGCGAGATGATGCCGTTTCGCTCTTTTGCGGTCGTGGGAAGCGAGGCATGGGATGCGCATCTGGCACACCGGGCATTGGAAGCCTGACTGGGCAGGCGGCAGTTCCTTAGCAAAGGCAACCGTTTTTGGTAACGGCAGAGGTGCCAACACATCTTAACAATGTCTTCGCTAGAGACAGGCTTGAGCTTCCAAACGAAGCTGGCCACAAAAGGATTCGCAGGTTTAGGAGTGCGGTCAAGCACCGCTTCGGGACGCCTACACTCCCATGCAATATGTTGGCATGTACCACGCCTGCCACGCCGCAAACCGAACTGCCGGTACTGTTGTGGCATGCAAGTTGGCGTTCACATTCAATTTGCGGTTGCTATCGATGTATTGGGAAAAAACTTAGCAAAAACAAAATCGAAATTACCGGAACTTCTGGTGAATTGAAAGACACAGTGACATAACATTCAACCTTGTCGAGTCGTTGGTAATCAATGCCAAAACGCAGCAAGCCAGGAAGACCAAAGAAAGTGAGCAACACACCAACGCTTGACCAAGCAAACCCTGCCAAGCTTGAAGGGGAGTGCCGGGGTTGGAGTTTGTAGATGACCGTAGCGTAACTCGTACCAGAGGCTGTTCTGATTATTGACAGTTGCGCTTCTTGCAGACCAAGGCTCAGAACACGCCGGTCACGACGTTCAAAATTGCGAAAACTGCAATGAAGATGTACAGCAAAAGCCTTTGCATGATTTCTTTCTTGTAGCTACATGCAGCTACTCCCTGGCTGGCAAGGATGGCTTCCAGCTTTGAGGGGCAGCGAAGTGGAACCTGGTACAACGAATGTTCCCCGAACCCTGCAAAGCTTGAGCCCTGCGAAGGAACACGCCCGAGCATTTACATGCTTCATTACTGGACCTCTTGCTCCTTGAAGCCAGAACTGTCAAAGCTTGAACATCCAAACCCGGCAGACATGCAAGACCTTCTCAATTTCCTCTCATGCTACCTACCACCCGAGGTCGCAGCTGAGAGCACGGGCACACATTCACCAAGCGAGTCTGGCCGTGCTGACAACAAGGTCAAGGAGGCCAAGTTAACATCCAAAAGCTCGCGGGTACTTGTCAATCCTAGCCTTGCGACTCTTGTTCACCACTGTCTGCCAGAACTGTGGAAATGTCAGTTGCGCATGCAGTCCCAGTAGCAAAGCTGTCCCCAGCGGGGAGAACTCTCGCAGTGGTCGGAAGGCTTCGTCCCAGCTGATCCCACCAGAAATGGCAAGGAACAGCCTCAAGCTCATGCTCGGGGATCGAATTTTCAGAATCGGAGGCGTGGGCTGTTGAACAGCGGTTGTACCACGTTGGAATTAAATTAGTTCAAGAACGCGTTTGATAGATGCGGTCCATAGTCTCGTGCCTCAGGCCAGCTTAATAGTTCGAAATCCGAGCAGCGTGAGCATGCTGTCCGGAACACTGGACCAGAACTTCCTCCATGCATCACATGAACTAAGCCGGACTGCCCACTAACGCTGCCCTTGCAAATCAACAAACAGCTCAATTCTGACACCACCTCGCCTGGAATTCCATCAAGCTGCAACACTCCAAAGCCTCGACCTCCAACCTTGCCCCAAAGCCGAGGCTGTTAACCGGTCCTGAGATTCGCCGGACAGTCGGGAATCGCGTTCGGGTCATTGGTTCGGTCGATGGCCTGCAAGGCGGCTGATAGGGCTGCTCCCGTGTTCCCTGATCTATCTCGATTTACGTTCATCTAAGCAATCTCTGAAACCTGCGCACTGGACAATTTAGGTCTACCGCCTTTGGCATGCCGGACTGGCAAATGCATCAGCCGCGACTGTGCGTGCCAAGGGTTCAAGTTCAGCGGGTGCAGGAGACCTATGATTTCACCCTGGGGTTCATGGTCCTTGATGAAACAATACCTTTCTTCATGTGCAGCCAAAACACTGCAGTGAGGCTGACCTTCGAAGTTGACCCACCCGCTGTGATGAATTTAGTGTGAATCAGAACTTGAAGCCCAACTACATGGATACCCCCTCCACTCAGAACGGCGTATCTTGAGGTTTACATCCAATACAAATACAAAAATGAAGCTCAACTCCTCTCCACCCCACGACCTTCTGAAATGCAGCCCTGCAGCCCTGATCCTCCCACATCATCTTGTGTGACAACAAAAGATGCAGAATCCTGACACGATGACTTCAAGGTCTGACCCTGGACCTAGATGTCGTAACAGACCTGCAGCGGCCTCAAATCGACAGTGGTCCATCACGAACCTTGACTGTTCTTTAGACAACTTTCACCATTTTGGTCTAGAGACTGCGATCCCTTAAAACGTAGCAAAGCGAGTTGTCATTGCGGCCGAGGAGCTGCGCAATAGCCATGCCGAAGGAGTAGCAAAGCGTAATGAGAAGCAGGAGCGTCCAGAAGAGAGAGCCTTGTCAGGCACAGGGTTTCGGGCGGGAGCTCCAGTCTCTATGCCACCGAAAGCCCCTAAGGCCCTAAGTCCAACCTTCTGAAGCTCCAGGCCCTGAACTGAAGGCCACTTTGTTCCTCGTCCCTCACCAGTTCTGCCAAGTTTTGTGATCGATGGCATTTACTAGGACATGCTTCACAATTGCGAGCATTGTGGGCATGACTTTGTGGTGGCTTTAGGATTCCGAGTCGCTGGCGGGCTGTCGCTTCGACCGTCGTGCTAGCAGAAGCTAGACGAATGCATTTAGGAGGTATCTGGAATCTAGCTGTGTCATTAAAAAAAATCTTTCTGCTGTTCTGTACCACCGTCGGGCTCCAGCTGTCCATAGCTACTTTCACCCTTCGTCAATCCGCTTCGAATGCCCTGCGATTGGTTCTTCTCTTGCGCTCTTCTTTCGTTGCACGTGCGTCTCCCGGTCTTGCTCAAACGAAACCAGCATTGCTCCCCAAGACACCCGTGGTGGCGATGATAGACAGCAGGAGTGTTCGCAGCGCAACCACGTAGCGAAAGAGCCGGACCAGCCTGGCAGTTGCTTTGGGTGGTCTCGGGTTTTTCTTGGACTAAACCCCGGGCAGCGCGGGCAGTGTAGAGTTCTCCCAGCGCCCTCGCAGTGCCAGTACCTTCTTACCGTTGCCAGGTATCCTCAGACTGGAACCTGGATACACATCGTCCAAACGAACAGTGCACATGCCTTTCTGAACATACTACATATTTCTAGGTAGTTAATTGGCTATGTACAGTACCGCTACTGACAGCATAACGAGCTATGGACCTGGAGAGCTGTGCGCTGTCAAAAACATCAACATTGTGCCTGGAGGCAAGTTGGGCGTAATTGCTTCCGTTATACGTGCCTTGATGGATCCAAATTAATTTGAAGCAGAGGGTCTCGGAGAAAACCGAAATATGTGACACAATCGATCCTCATCCCTCGAAGGGCGCGTATGAGCCGCACGGTCCGCAGAATGCGCACCTGAACTGCACATTTCAGGCATTGGGTTCTTGGTTTCGGGAGAGTGGGCTCATGAGAGTCTGCTTTACAGAATGCTGTTGCCTGCGCTGGCACAGGCCTTTCATGCAACCTACTCGCAACAAACACAGGGCGCACGTTCATACCCCGCGTTGTCGACGTTTGCCTCGCTTCTCCTTCAGTACTTCTGCCTCACATTCACAACTGTAGTTAAACTTTCTACTGCAACCCGTTGCATTGCCAACCCACAATACCAGTACCAGTTCCCTTGTGCCCCCTTTTGCCCCTTCCTTGAAATCACGGATAGCGTCAGGGTTCCTATGTCGGGGCTGATGCCATCAGCGGTTCCTCGAGCACACGAAGAAGCCCACGGACTGTCACTGCATCCCCGAATATCCCCTGCTAGCAGGAGCGCTTGCCCGGAGTTCGCATCCAGGCTCTGTGCCCAGAGGTCCAAGGCACACTCCTTTGCTCAGAAAGGGTCAAAAGCTTTTGCATGGGGTTTCTGGAGGACGAGAGTACGAGTGTGAGCTCTAGAGACCTCAGCGTCGCAAAATCGGAAGTACGGGCCTTGCCAGCATCGAAGAAATCTTCCATTTGTCCGAACGCTCCCAAAACATGCGGATGCAAGTCCCTGAACAGAAGTCCTGAAACATTCAACACTCTAGTTTCTAGACCCCAGACCACTGATGGTGCAGCGTAGAGTGTGTGTGTGTGTGTGTTAAGTTCTTCCAAACCATGCCATATCACGCCAGCAAGCAAGACTTACGATTTACCCGAGACCTGCCTGCCCCACGGCTGAAGTTTGCCGGCATCTTTACGGGGGGTTGAGCGAGCCGAGCGGCAACCACAGATACGACGACGACGGCGAAATCAAACATGTTCCTGACGGGTCAGCCAGCTGCTGGTGCCTAACAGTCTTAAACCTTGAAAGCCGGTGCGTACATTGTCGAACCTGCTGCACTCGCCTCATGAAGAGGAAGGCTGGAGATCTGCGGTGCCACGGTTGCTATGTGCGTCGGGAAAGTCATCTGGGAATATCTTGAAGTCCCTCAATTCACCTCCAGTCCCGCTCGAAACTGCCGAAAACGGTCCAGCCGGACTCCGCTCCGCACCAAAAGCCAGCGCAGCCAAAGGCCAGGTGCCTCAAACAGAGCTGAGGCGGCCAAATCAGATGGGAAGCCCCTAGGAGGAATCAGAAGCCCAAAACATGCAAAGCCTAAAGCCGTACACGGGAGGGGGAAGTGGCAACCGATGCAAGGGGCAGCGCACGACTCCCTAGAACAAACCAGGACCATGTGAGAATGCGCACATGCACATCTGTAGGCATACATGCATGCATGCAGGCAAAGTACCCTCTATTATGTCTATATTGTAACGTCACGTATCTCATTTCTGGAAATGAAATATTCCCGGACAGACAGGAAATATTCGCGCACCAAGGAAAACGGCATGGTATCGTGCAGTCTTTTATACTGTGTACATCTGAATACTATATATACTTCAATTAGACTGCAATGTCAACAACAAAAGGCACGATACAATACACTATAGTTCACTACAGACTACAAGACAAAGCTACGATGTAAGCCCGTCACCGCAGGCGAACAAGCGACTACAAAGTCCGGCCTGGCCGTGTGTCTGTGTCTGATTGGCGTCTGCGCTTTCACACTCTTGTCATCTCTTGTCTCAGGCTGAGCTGTCATCTGTGCCTTCTCTTAGCTGCGCCCGGGTCTTCCCGGCTCTTGTGGTTTGCTCCCCACCGGCATTGCTGCAGCGATGCTACGATGCTCTGAAGGCCCGGATGCCCGGAAATGCCCGGAAGACCGGCAACCACGAAGAACAGCATCAGCTTGGCGGCTTGGCCCGAGGGCTTCCGCTGTGGACTCTTTAGTTCGAAGCCGCCAAGGAGCTTTAAGATCGCTTCGACCACAAAGCCACTGACCATGATCAGGTTCACTGTGTTGAACCATGCGGGGACGTCGCCCTGGCGGAGATCATTGTGAAAGGCGAACAGTCTTGAGTCTTTCGCTTCAGGATGTGTGCAAGGCTTTCATGTGCCTGTTGCCCACCATCTCACAACCCACGGCTACCTCAAGGATCCTGCTCCGCCGTGTTTCTGCCACCATCTCGCATGCTCGATGATGGGACACTATGGTCAAACTAATCTAGTAATGAATGGTTATCACGTCGCCGCCTGAATGTGGCACCTGCGTGCAACCTTGTGGAGACAAACCGGGACTATCTAGAGAATTCACGAAAGAGCGCGGAAAACCAATGCTCCTGATGACGACACATACAACTTCTGGATCCCTGTGGGAGCCTGGCCCAACGTAGACGAGACATCCACCTGCCCAAGTGATCTCTGTTTTCGCTCTGTGCGTCCGCATTCACGGTCCGCGCTTCAGAGGGGGTTCTTGACTCGGACTTTTGACGGAGCTTCCTTTTGACGCTCTATCTTCGGAAAAGGGTGCCCGCGCCGGGCTCGAGACTCTGTCAACCCTGACCTGTAAGCTCTCATGGACCTCTCCTAATCCTGAACTCCAATCCCACCCGCTTCGCTCCATGCTGACAGCCCGAGTGTGTCAGATTACACCATCTGGAACTGCTGCGGCAATACGCCCTCTGCCGGCCTCGATGCCCATAAGTATAACATTGGCCTCACTTGTCCACTGGGCGCTCTGGGGCTTGTTCTGGCAAGTTTCGGGTCAAGCTTCGGGCGGACAACTAGCTGTGTTTTCACGGCGTTGAACGGCTTCTGAGTTTTGGTTGGGGCCGCTTGTGTTTTAAGTCAGCGTTCGGGATCGGGGTGTGTGGATTGCCGCTACGTATAATGTTACAAGCTGTTTGCTTGTCTCGTCTTCGTCTTGAGGCAGCTCAGAACCTCCATGCCCCATGAGCCTATGAACAGATCATGCGGAAGACCCCAGTTCAACTGGTGATGAGCTTGGTCGAATGTTTGTCCGGCAGGATGAGGAGAGAGACGGGTCCGTTCAGTTGCAGCTCGTGTTCTGTGACAAAGGAAGAGGGTCTGAAGGAAACCAGAATGTTTTGGACAAGGACAGGCAGGGATTCTACAAGCAACGATTACCACAAGTGTTGACACTCCTACAGTGACCTGTAGTGTATAAAGTACCCTTAATCAGTTCGTGTTCTTCATAAGTGTGATCTTCAAGCCCGTGAGACCGATTCGGCAAAACCATCCCTGCACGGCAGCAACTTTCCGGAGTCTTA